CCGTCTCTCTCTCTCTCTCTCTCTCTCTCTCTCTCTCTCTCTCTCTCTCTCTCTCTCACGTGAGTATGGGATGTATATCCGAATTTAAAATGATTTCAGTATAGTATGATTGGGAAAAGAAACGTCAGCAAAAATAGCAATAGAACTACTGCATTAAAAACAACAACAACAACAACAACAACAACAACAGCAGCAGCAACAACAGCAACAACAACAGCAACAAAACAAAACAACAAAAACAACAACAACGACAACGACAATAACAACAAAAACAACCTCATCAGCAACCATTATATTTTGTTGCTCGAGCCTTCCTTTCTGATTTTTTCCCCCTCTCAGCTTGCTTCGACCCAATTCATGTATGTTTCGATTAAGCTAACGTATGTTACTTTCTTTTACATTTTTTCAGATAACTGCATAAGGATGCAGATACTGGTGAAAAGGAAACATTTAATTGGAGCAGCGGCTGTATCTACTCTGTCGATCATAATCTATAGTCTGTACAACATCAATTTCCACACACTGATTTACGACAGAGAACAGCCAAGGCGGCGTCCACGAGTGCATTGTGGAGGAGGTAGTCCAGTAGCCGTTGATGGCGTCCCCCCGTATGTCCCTGTACAGAAAGTCCTCTACGACAGAGACAACGTGCTGTATGGAGACGTGAAGACCTCTTTGATAGACCTAGGCCTCGGCCTCACACGGTGTAACGATGAAGATGGCGGGACCGTTCTGTGGGAGAACGGAGTCTCTTTCCGACAATTTCTGCGTGAAGATAATTCGAGTAACAAGTTCTTCCTCTCTGAGTTCGAACCTTACATACCGTTTGTACCAGAAGTGTTTTTCTTGGGACGTAAAGACAAAATCTCGGAGTTCGAGAAGAGGCTGGCGTCCGGCACTACGGCCAACAATGAAGCACAAGGGTTTGAGCGGAAGATTATTCTTTGGTGGCAGAACAAGAAAGCTGCAGCTCCAATTTCTGAGCTTCGGCCCTTGAGATTTTGTCCTGATTTACCATGTGTACTAACCTCCAATAGAACATTCACAGAGCGCAGTTCTGCTATGCTGATAAACAGTGAGTCCAAAATGTGCATAATATATAAAATACTTGCTCACATTCACGTGCCAAACTATCGGAGTGTGATTTTTCGGGGGGGGGGCGATTTGTTTTGTTTTGTTTTTTGGTTTTGGTTTTGGATTTAGTTTTGGTTTAGGTTTTGGTTTTGGCTTCAGTCGTTACAATGACGCTCTTGTTCGATCGTTGAGGCAACTAATGGATAACAAGTACATGACTGTTTTTGACCGCTGTAGTCATCAGTCTAGTTGTGTATTGATTACATAACAATACACTTGCTTTAGACAGAATGGGGAGATTTGAAAACTAATCAATATCTAACTTCTTATGTATGTAGTTTAAAATGTTGTCTGTAAAGTGAAAATTTTAATATGTTTAACGAGAATCACGTCGTATAGGCTGCTGGGCTTGCAAGCTAAAGGTCGTGCGTTCAAAATCCGCCAGGGATCCGACCTTGTGTCTTTTGGTGAAGGCAGTTTTCCTCACTTCATCCGGGTGGGAATGTGTACATGTGTAGCGTTTGAACACTACATCAGCTGCTTGCGCTGTATGCTTCCCGGGAAGCCAATAATAATAATAATAATAATAATAATAATAATAATAATAATCATTATCATCATCATCATCATCATCACCATCATCATCATCATCATCATCATCATCATCATCATCATCATCATCATCTTAGATTGTAAAGTGCATAGAGTTTACTGCTGAGCGGGGATATGCGCTATACAATTGCCATTTATAATACATGTCTTATTTTTATCAATTGACTTGCATCAATGACTCGAGATCCCGGAAGATTCAAGACTTTGCGAGATTTTTATAGAAAAGCATACCGGCACGACTCATTGTACATTCTTGAGAAATGATTGTTCTGGTAGGAATAGTTGAGTCTCGGAGTCTCGGGGGTACATTATTCCGTTCAGGGCTAGCCTGTCCAAGCTGTAGGCCGGATAAAGAGATGTCCTCACGAGCCAGTGCAGGAAAAAATAGGATGAAATCGGTTGAAATACCTAATCTCTCAAAAGTGAGACTAAAAATGACACTATCTTTCAGTAGAGGGCACTTAACGAGAAGAAATATTACATACTGAAAAGAAAGCGAGACTGTGCTATTTCTTTTACCATCTGTGAAACTTGAAACAATGGGTGAAAGGGCATTTGAATATCAAGGCCCCAAGATCTGGAATGCTTTGCCAAGTATTTTAAGAGAGATTAAATTTGCTTTGCCAAATATTTTAAGAGAGATTAAATTTATTAATCCTGTGATTCATTCTAATGTCAGCTGAAGTCATGTCTGTTTTTAATTGATAAGATGAATATTTAGAGAGATTTTCCTTTGGTCTTCTTTCTTTGTGCTATTGTTGTATCGTAAAGCGCTTAGAGCCTGTGTCCTTTAATCGGGGTTGAGCGCTATATAAAATGTCATTTATTATTATTATTATTATCATTATTATTATTATTATTATTATTATCATTATTATTATTATTATTATTATTATTATTATTATTATTATTATTATTATTATTATTATTATTATTATTATCCAGCTGACTCGGAAACTACCTATGAAAATTTTCAGGATGGACAGATATGTTTTCATTAGTTATCAACTGACAGCGGACTACTGTTATATGAATTACTGGGTCTACTCCACAGAATTCTACACTTATATATATAATAGAACGGGCACTGTACCACGTGACCTGTGAGGAATTGAAGACCGAAAACAATGGCAAGATTTATCGTTTTCGGAAGTAACCCTATAGCTTTTACTATCTTTGATCTAAGTCATTGTGCAAAAGTAGGAGAATCTAGATGTAGAATCTAGATTAGATCTAGTTGTTCAATAGTTCAGTAGCCTATATATTTGATAAGTTGCACAACAAATTTTTGACCGCACGCTACAGTAGTAGAGATAGCGTATTATTTTCATCCGAAACATTAATTTCCGCATCCATACACCTTTTCGGGCCTTTATAAGCACATGTAGTCCTATTTTAATTATGTTACTTTCATAATTGTTTTTGAAAGCATTTTCAATTCCTTTCACTTCCCACGCGCGGGCACATATAACTATGATTACAATTTAATATTCCAGATCTGACGAATGTATTTATTAAATAGAGATTAGTGCTGGGTTAGCCAATGCATTGCAATGCGCGCTATTATCAATTATTGAATTGTAACATAGGACTTCAATTTGATACCTAACAAGAGACCACTTATTTTTTTATACGTGTTCATGAATGTGTGTTTGTTTTCTGTGTGCGAGGATTAAAAATTAAAGATTAAAGATTCCAAATCTGACGAATGTATTTATAAAATAGCGTAATAGTGCTGGGTCAGCCGGTGCCTTGCGCTACGCGCTTTTATCAATTAATTGAATTGTAACAGGACTTCGATTTGATCCGTAACAAGAGACCACTTATTTTTTACTTATACGTGTTCAAAAATGTGTGTTTGTTTACTGTGTGCGGGCATTAAAGATTCCAGATCTGACGAATGTATTTATTAAATATAGCGTAGGCCTAAAGGGCAGGGTTGGCCAATGCATTGTGATACGCGCTTTTATCAATTAATCGAATTGTAACAGGACTTCAATTTGATCCGTAACAAGAGACCACTTATTTTTTCTATTAGATTCTATACGTGTTCAAAAATGTGTGTTTGTTTACTGTGTGCGGGGATTACAGGGGGACAAGCTCATCTCCTCGACATGTGATCCAGGGTATGGGGATACATTCTTCTCAAAATGCACACAGCTCTGAAATCCTTGACCAGTGATCACTCACGATGGAACTCTTTCTGTTGTTACTGTAGACACAAGTTTCTTCATTATCACATCTGAATGAGCCTATCATTCATGCATTAGAAACCACACTCTCAACACACACAAAAATGACTTTGAACATAATTCAGGAAACATATGGAAGTTCCACTCTTGTTTACTTTGTTTTGCATTATTGGCTTTTAAGTGTAAAACAAAATGTGAGGCCTTTTCTGCATTTTTTGTGTTTTTTACAGCATGTGCAATAGGCCTATGTATTTTATGTGCAACCGACACATTCTCCAATCTCTTGTATTTGTTAGACTCGCACGTGCTTTAAACAAAGCATGTTGTACACACTATATTTCACTGATGCAAACACAGAGATGAATTCTTAAAGTGAGAAATAATACATTTCCTCAATATAAGCTCAATTTATTGATCTCTTTCTAGTAAATTGGAGAAAAGGCATATATTATTCTGTTTTGCTTTCTGTGGATGGCCTTAAGTTTTATGACAATGTAATAATGTAATTGTAGTGAGCATGTTACTGTCAACGTCCCCTTTATCGTAGTACTAATCTAGACTATATCTAGATATTTTGCCAACAGAATTAATGTTCGTAATTAGTGTTATTATCAAGTGTATTGTGAGTGTGAAGATCCCATCCCATCATTTTTTTTAAACCAAACCAATCACACAACAACATTGTAACATTGCCAATTATGACATTGTTGGCAATAAAAATGTACTAGACTATTTCGCTGTATTTCCTCTTCGAAGAAAGCTTTAAAATACTGATGTAAGGTGTCTTCCAAGCCCTACCACTAGCATCAGCGTGCATAGCAACGCGAAGCCTCGCTGTGTGGTGCAGTCAAAGCTGCCCTCAACTGGCCGCCATGTTTTAGTTTCAATTCCTCACAGCGAATCACCGATCGCAAAGAGGGAGTTCCGCTTCTATAAGTGTAGAATTATGTGGTCTACTCAAAAGCTCAACTGTGATTGCTCCGTGTTGTAGTTTGGCCGAGCCTCGTTTACGGCTTAGTGGTAGGGATTTATGGTACCCTCCAGTACTCACTACTCACCTCAAAACCTGTTATATATTAAAATTAAAGTGCATCTTCACTCAAATTCAACACACACCGTGGAAAGATAAAATCCCCTTTTCAAAACTTTTTCTTCCAGATCAGTTCATCAAATCGCCACCTCCTACTCGGCGACCAGACCAGGTTATGATCTACTACCACATCGAAGCTCCACTCCCCCACTACTGGTACACAGGCTCTCGGCTGAACAACCCGGCTTGGAACCACATCTTCAACTGGACCATGTCATATCGCTTGGACGCTGATATTTTCGCTCCTTATGGCCTCATCAGGAGACGAAATCGTCCTCCGGAACGAGATTATTCATCCATAGTCGACAGGAAGACCGGTCTGGTCGCGTGGATAGTCTCACACGTCAATACCCAAAGCAGGAGAGGCGAGTATGTGGATGAGCTACAGAAGTACATCCACGTCAGCAGATATGGCGGCGGCTACAAAAAGTGCAACATACAGAAAGATTACGAATGTTTTGCTTCTATAGGGAGAAAGTATAAGTTCTACCTCAGTTTTGAAAATGGGTATTGTGATGACTACGTCACAGAAAAGTTATTCAAATACTTTAGCCTAGACCTGATACCTGTGGTGCTTGGAACGAGTGATGTTTCCCGTCATGCCCCACGAGGGGCTTATATAGATGTGGCAGATTTCCCAACTCCAAAGCAGCTCGCACAGCGTATGCTTTATCTCCACACACACACTGATCAGTACATTAAGATGCTGAAAATCAAGGACCAGTACTTTTCTGTATATGAAGACTATATACTTAAGCCACCGTCACGCCCCTTTAACGTGGAATATCTATACGAATCAGTGCCTTTCTGTCACATATGTCATAGGATTTGGAACCTTGAGAACTACACAAAATCTATTGCCGATGTTCGAGAATGGTTTCAGTTATCTCACTGTTACCCTCCTGGAAATGTGTCTGGAATCAATGGGTTTTCAAGTACTCCAGTACCGAGTTAGTTTAAACTGGATGGCAGTACGTAAGGGTTACTTTGTCGTTAAACAAAAAAGCAGCATAATGTATTTTCCTGGTACCAGACACCTCATCGAGGACACATGATGCAAAGTTCTGCAATGTTGCAATTCAAACAGCAGGATTATAAACGTAGACATTTTCAGAAGGTATAGTAAAGCGAAGGTCCTGAATTCCACTTTTTAGAACCTGTTACCGTTGTTATCATATTTTCTAATTCTTTACATCATTGTCTTTATTTTTTACAATTATCAACCGTTGAATGCTTCCAGGTTCCGCACTTGCATTCTAATCAAACAGAGACCAAGACTTCCGTTTTCATTTTCTATGATATAACTGTGTTTATATACTTTTAAGACAGCATTTACT